GGCTTCCGGGCTGCACTGTTGATGGCAACTGTACAAAAATGTGAAAGTCCCTGCCTGGTGGCCGATGCGGGTGTCGTCTGCCTTCGCCTCCCTTCATGTGGCATATGCTTTCCTTTAGGACCTATATTTAAAACAGGTCGGGGTGGCTAATGCAGGGGCTTTCAACAGGATTTTACCCTTGATAGGTGGGCGTGGCCAATGCAAGGGGTGTCAACATGTTTCCCTTCCTTGGGACTGGTTTGGCTAATGCTGGCGTCGTCGACGCTTGTCTCCCTTTATTTTCTTGCTCCCCCACGTTTGGGACCGGTGGGGGCAAAACTTGTCTCGCTTCGAGTTTGCTGTAGGGGTTCTTGATAGAGTGAAAAAATGCTTTGCCAATACTGCCAGGTGGCAAACTTGCCACCGGCTGGTCGCTGGCACCTCATCTGCGGCCAGCAACTGGATGGACTGCTTCATGCCAGATCACCTTCTAAGCTGCTAAATGCTTAAATCCATTTCCCTCTTGCATCCCAATGCTGAACCAGGCCTTGGCAACAAACTAGTTGCAAGTTCGATTCTCCGAACAAGGAAGCTGCGCAGGTCTTTCATGTCTGCTTCAACTTGAGGGCAGCACGTACGGAAGCAAGGGGCCTCTCCTTGGGCAAGGAAGTTATGCCTCCCTTCCGACGAACGGGCCGAAGCTGCGATGCTATTCAACAACTGCAATTCTTCGCAGGCTGCTCCTCTGACGACACGCAGGCAAACTAGCAATATAACATCTGAAAACTACTGGTACCATTGCGCAGTGCGCGCCAATTGCCGAGCAGCGTCTGGAACAGAGGAGCTGCTTTCCCAAACGGAGTCTGATTCTACCTGTGGACGAGTCAACAGCCAAAGGACTTAATCGACTTAACCTGTGGCTGCATGCCTTTCACATCCGGCTGCAGCTGCAAACAACCAAAAACCTGCGAAGGTGTTAAGAGTGCTGGCTTACTTGGCCTCTTCCATATGCTGCTGCGAGAGAACTGGCGAAGAAGGCAGCCTTCGTTGGGAAAGTGTGCATTTTCTCACTCACGAAAAGATTGCTGCCTCTGCGGTTGAGCAACCACGGGTGCTTTGACCATCCCGGGCCAGGAATGCGGAGCAAAGCCACTCGATGAGGACTTGCAAGCGGGCTGGGAGTGGCTTGGAAGCCAGCAGCGAAGCTCCGGAACTCGGCCTCAGCCACAAGCTGCCATGTCCGTTCTCGGAGGCTTTGGAGCGGCGGACTTCAGTCGCAGGGGCAATGATGGCACATAAGAAGATTTTGGGTAGTCCCATTCTGCCTCAAATGCGGCCTCTGACCTACATGTTTCTTTGCTTCTAGCGACCCCGGCCCCTCAAGCCCATCATGTCCAAGGAGTAGAGGAAGGACCGGGAAACTAGACTGGAAACATCCAGGAACAATGAAAGCAAATGCGGAACAGCATGATGAAACGTTAACTTCTTACAAATGTGAACTAATCTGAGAACTCGTTCGGGTGTCGGAACACAATGGGACACAACTGGTTTCTGTTTGTACTGGTAGCAAGCATTTGGGGCCACAAGGTGGCCGACGGGTCTCAACACCATGAAAAAGGCCCTCTGACGTCGACACCAAATGCGTTGAAAGCAGTTGGACATGCAGCTGTTTTGTATGGGCGGTGCGTACGCATGCCAGCTTGAGCCCGAAAACACATCTGGACTTTCTGCGAGACAAATGAACTCCGAACCCACCCCACCGCTGCATCTGTTGTCCGGCCTTCAATCCGAGAAAGCTCTTCCCGCTTTGTACCCAAGAAGCATGCATCACACTCATCAACTCAGCCCTGAAGCAATCTAAGGCTGCTTCCGACAGGAATCTCCGACTTCTACTTGTCTTACAAATGTGCCTCCTGTGACCAGCTCCGCATGATCGCAGTGATCTCATCTGAGAGCATTGCTACATGAATACTCAACGCGGGTAGAAAGGGGTTGCTTCGCATCTCGCATGTGATACCACCGCACTGCTCTTCCAGAACGTGAGATGCAACTCATGCTGGGACGAGGAGCCACGTCGCCGGGCCGAAGCGAGTGTCCGGGGTGTATGCTCAGAGGGAGCCCGTGCCGTAGCACCTGAGAGCGAACAATGCTGCAGCTGTGTGCAGTTTGTGGCAGTGCACAGGCATGAATGCTTGCCGTTGGCGGCAACTTACCGTAGCTTGAGAACGCTGTGACGGCGATCTAAAGGGATGGGCACATAGGATGCAAATGGAACGGTAGGCCACAAAGTATCCGAGACAGAACTCGAAAGAACGACAGGTCGTGCAGCAAGGTTTTAGGTAATTTGTAGGAGCTTCTCCCACGGGTCGAAGTTCCATGCACAAGGACCAATGCTTGTTGTCCACACCTTTCCAGCTTTATTCGATGGCCTTGCCTGAAAGTTCATCTTGCGACGAGGCAGCGCTCGCACCAGCCATTGAGGCTGCAAGCTGAACACTTGATACACGTTGTGGCGGGCATGGGCATGGCTTGCTGGTAACGTGCTGCACTACCATTCACATGATGTGATGTTGGTTCGATCTCCGTGGAAGCTGCACCTCTCAAGGAACCAGAAAGTTAAACGGCCAGTAGATTCACGTGAACTGACGAGGAATGTCACTCGCCATGCTGCGCATGATGCGATTCGTTGTGCCCGCTTCAACTACCAAGACAAGCAGCACCCAGAACCCTAACATCTGCACATTGACAACACGGTGCGTGTCACTCCTTTTCCCGGGCCCGGTGTCTCAAACGCTTTGCCTGAGCTGCGCTAGCCAATGGTCGGCCGGTATTGGTCTGCAAACCGTAAATGCATCTCTCGATAATGCATAGTGACTAGCCAAGGTGCAAGTTCTCCGACTTGATTGACTTGGACACACCATCCACGAGCACTTCGTACCTGTGGAAGATTCACCGGCTTAGTTTCCCCTCTCAATAATACTGTCGGGTAAGACTGCAGTGGCGGGTCTGTTCTCGTCTGGGATCTTCTGCAACTTTCTGGCCCGGAGCACATAGAATTCGCGCAATGGCCACACCCACGATAAAACGTAATGGGTAACTAACATGCATCACAAACACTGTTTTTTGATGAAGCCACTTCAGAGAGCCCCGTTCTCGAATCTTTGCATGCTAAAGGAAGGGGAAGGGCGGAAGTCGAAAGTCGAGTTTTGGACCTCTGCTCTCGACCACAGAATGGCTAGAGCTGCTCGAACGCATTTCTTTGCTGGCGGGGTTGGGCGAAAATGCTTCTTCCGGCTTACATGTTGAGGGATGGTGGCAAAACGAAAAAGCACTAAGCCGTGGATTCAAAGAGGAGGGAAGCTGGCAAGTGGACTTCGCTCTGTGAAATGCTTCGAACTTTGGTGCTGCAGACCCGCCCCCCCCCCCCNNCCCCAGCTTTGCTCGACAGGAGCACCAACGACATTCATAACGTTCTAGAGTCTTTCAGGATGGCTTTAGTGGGAGCTGACCGCACTACCGTGACTGCTTCATGTGATGACGTCTTGTCGCAAGTGCACCAGATGGAGGACGACCATGTTCAAGCAACACGGGCTACACACCCAAAGCCCAGTTTCGAATATTGACAAGCACCTCTCACACAACCTGTAGTGCTATTTTTGCCTTTAGCAGAGCTCCGCATTTCCAGACTAACTTCAAATTAGTCTTCAGTATCACTGGTAGCATGGCATTCGGCAAGCATCTACACAGTCGTCTTCCTGGAGATCCAGTGCCAGGGACACAAATCCTGCCGTCTCCTTTCTGGGTTCATGTAAAGCCCCATGAAGGAGGTGGTGCCTCGTGCACCCTAAGGTGCCATGCATAGGCCCCCCTGTGCCATAGGGTTGTCCGTGATGGAGTTTGCCTACCGCTCTCATGAAAATTGACACTCCCATGCCGAGGTAAGTCCCCCCGGCCCTTTGGGCCCCCCAAGTTTCGTGGGGCTTTGGAGGCGTCAGCAGCAACGGGATCGTCCCCACTCTTCTTCCTTCGGGTTAGAGGAGCTTGTCAGGCTCCCCGGCCCATAGGGCCCCCCATCGTTCTGGGGCTTTTGTCCCCACTCTCTCTCTCTCTCTCTCTCTCTCTCTCTCTCTCTCTCTCTACCGGGACAGGAGAGGCAAGGCAAGCCCGACCCCTCCGCGCGCGCACGCGCACCCGCAGGTATGGGCGGGTTTTCGGCTTCCACTGTGGGGCTATACCCCCCGATGGCTCAGCTGTACACGGGCTTTGTTGAGGATCCCCCGAGTAACACTGCACTATTCTAAAGATAGGCAACACTCAAATACCCACTCCCTCTCTCTCTCTGTCTCTCCCTCCGTCCCGGGCATAGGGACCGGTCAAGGCCCCCGGGCAAATTTCCCACCCGATTATGTTAATCGGGGAAGGGGAGTGAGGAACCAATGTAGATTGTAAAATAGCTCATGCCGTTAAGTATGCGATAACCTCTTGCTTTCTTTCGCCAGGGTTAGGCATAACCTACCTCTCTCTCTCTCTATAGCAGACAAGGGGAACGAGGGAAGGGACAAAGCATTCGGAGGTATGGCAGCCGCTTTGGTAGCCGCAGAAGGCAGCAAAGGGTCTTCACCTAGACCCAAGCCATCATCAGCATCTCCACCACCTAGGGGGGCAGTTTCCTCATCAGTCAGGTCTTCATCGTCATCACACTGAAGTACCGTGCTGGCATTGTCGGGGTGCGGATTAGTCCCAGGATGCAACGGGGCGCTCATAGTCTGCCCGGGACAGATAGACCTCCAGGCTCAGGTTCCAGGGAGTCTACGGGCCACGGGGTTCGAGCAAATGCAGCACTTGAGCCAAAATCGCATACATACCTACATGATCATACATGCATAACATAGCTACACACATCTCTGGCTCCCCTCCCTGTCTAGAAACCATTTTTGCTAATTACCGCAGCAAGGTTGGTGTTGCCTGAGGCTGTGCAGCATTAAGTGTCGTGACGAAACACTTTGCAACTCGCCCGTGGCCTGGAAACGTCATGGATGTAGCGGTTGACTTCACCAACACGGCCATTGAGTATCTGCACATGTGCCGTGGTTGCATTGGTCTGTCGTTGTCTGCGTGTGTACCTGACCTAAAGTATGCACTGCCGGCTTCTAATTACTTGGATGCAGGGGCATTGCGAGACCTCGTCGGAGATCAGGTGTCAAGTTGTCGAGTATTTCAACGACGTTACTTTGCCAGTATCCCCCAACCCTAAAACCTGAGCCCTTCACCTCTGTGCTATGCTTTTCAAGGCTATCGGATACCATCGGCTATCACTTTGGAATGGTGCAGTGGCCTTGCCAGCATCGCTTTGGAGGCTGTGAATCCTGGTTTGCAAAGGCAAAGGCAGCTGATCAAGCTCCTCTTCGTACCGCCTTAGCAGGGGCTGCCCTGCGGAAAAGCACCACGAACTGCAAGCTGATCCACCGCTCAACCCTGATGTCCAGGGCATGAGAATTAAGGGCATCCATGACAAGGCCTGCATTGGTCACCCGGAAGGTAGACTCGTTCGCCTTCCGGTCGGAGGTTCTCAGCACCTCAGCAGCAAGCTAGACTCAACCAGAAAAGCATTTTTGGACATCCGTGCTTCGTTTCTTCTGGCGTGGAAAGAGACAATTTTCGTAACACAAGATGAAAACATTCCTCGAGAGGCAGGACGTCCGGAGGCCCTGAGGCCCGATCGGAGAGCCTTTGTGTCACCGTTGCTGAGCTTTGCCTCGTCGGAGACATCAAGCATCTTTCAGTACTCACAACTGCCAACCTGCGGAACGAACTGACGGCGCGTGTGACCCCTCCACTCAACAAGCCGGATCGGAATATAAGCAAGCTTCCTCCCAGCGTCCGTTCACTGAGTTGTAGCCGACAATCCTGCCATAGAAGGTTCATGCCCTTGAACACCCTATTGCCGGCTTTCCTTTGCGTTCGCTTCGGTCAGCCAGTGACAGTTTCAGTGCTTGGCCCGGCAGCTTACACGGTCCCCCCACTGAGGCCATTGAGGTGCTCTGCGTTTTTGAGGCCGCAAACCTGTGAACCACGCAGGGTACAAGCAGGTTGGGCTGCGCATCACTCTGTCAGCCGCACAAGACTGACTGTTTGTTGTCTTGTATTGGCGAGTAAGCATTCTGACTGAGTGTCGGGCTGCGACGGGGGCACCTATTCTCAGAGCATTCCTCAGCAATTCAAACAGTTGGTCGAATGCTCAGATGAACGTCGGAGTCAAGAACTGTGAAGAGCTTGGCTCAACCCTCCAGAGATTGGCATGAAGCTGTGCACAAGCATGCACAAGAATAAACATGCAAACCCATCCATGGGGTGGGTGCAGGGATGTGCCCTTCGTGTTCGTTTGGTCTGCGGAACAAGGGACCTCAAGTGCTGAAACCAACATGAACTGCCATCGACAAATTTGTGTCAGACTGGAACTCTCTCCCGTGTGGTGTGTGGGTCTGATCTATGCATCAACGGGATTGCGAGCTTTGGGTAACTTTGGTCCTGGTGCAGTGTCTGCAGGCTGCAAAGAAAAGAGATCGACACGAACATGTCGCCAAATCGATGCAATTAGTGGCTTGTCCATGTGAGTAAACTTGCTTCATCAGCTGAGGTATGTTCTTGCCGGTACCAGCTGTACAGCCAGCTGCAAGAGTTCGAGGGTCAAGCCTGCCGCTGAACTTAACAGGGACTGCCACAGACTTCGTGAGCTGTCCGAAAACGCGCAATCATCGTGTCCCGTCTCTGAGGATGCCCCTGACTGGCCTGTCCAGCTGCTGTATGACTGTCTCGGTGCTGAAGTTGGCAGCAGCCTGGACAAAGTTCTACTACAAATGTTGCGAATTGACTGATGCTGGATGCTTCGGTTTATTGTATAGGAGTTGCTAGGATGTCTCACAACTCGGACAAGCCAGGCGAGGTACAGGATTTTAGGACTGCCCCCCTCTCTCCTATGCCAATGTTTTGCTCCTGTCTGGCTCCTGCCCTTTTTGGGCTCTATGACATTCATTGCGTTGATACCATATTGCAAGGCATCTGCATTCTGGATTGAGCATTTACTTGCCTGGAAAATTGTGTCATGTCTTGCCAGCTGCAAGTTCTGTGGTGCCAAACGTCCACGAGCTCCTCGCGGGTTCCTCTTGCCCCCTTTGTCTCGTTTTCGGATGCAGCGTGATTTTCCATTCTTTGTACATTCCACCCCAGTCAAGCTTAGCAAACTCCATGTCAGAGAAGATGTCGTGTCACAGCCAAACGCAAGCTAAAACAACGACGCAAACTTCAAATCATTCCAAGTGCGCGAATGTAGCTTGAAACATAACGCCGCCGCGTAGTAAACCAAAAGCGACCGGACCACGTGCAACAGAAACACTAGTCACCAGTAGTGTTGTACAGGCTGGCCAACTCGCCTTGTCTGTGCAGTGATCAACTCCCACTCCACTGAAGCTTGGAGCCCTTCGAAGAATGAGGGGCTCTTAGTTCTTGGCTCCCCGTCTTGGGTTTAAGTCTTTTCGATTCTCCGCCTTTGCCGGCTTCGGAACTGAAGTGGTTCCGGCTCTCCAAGTATTTCTTTTGACAACTAGCATGGTTCCCAGGGTTCGTTGGGCGAGGACTGCCAGGAGGCAAAGCCCGTAAATTTGGCTCTCCAAGTATTTCTGGTTTCTTGCTTCCAGCTTCATGCTGTCAATTCCGCTAGGGGCCATACAATCAAGGCTTCATCTCCTAGCTGCAAAAAGGATTGACCCTAGCTTAGACTTGCTGCCTTGCTCATTTTCCTTTTGAGAAAAGAAAGCACCATCAAGCAGGCAGGCAGTGACGTGCCTGATTCGGCTGGTATGCACCATTCGTGAAATGATGGATGAGGTCCAAGCCTCAAGAAACTTGCAGTCTGGGGTCAAAATCGAGTTTATCATCCCTACGACCCTACCTTGCACGTGTCATGTCGTGGCTCTTAGGACCTGGCTCGTCCGCTGCCCCATTGACTCCATGGCAGAGTACTTAGAGGGCAGTCCTGAGCGCGTCTTTCGCCTAGTGGAACATTATGCACGGTGAAGCTGAAAGCAGTGACAGAGATACGATTCTTCCAGCTTCGTAGCATGTCGCATATCAAGGGCCGCACTCTTTCTCAGCAAGAAGTGCAACGCACAGTCCTTGGGCAATACTAAGAGGAAGGGGTGGTTTCTGCAAATCTGGTGATGCAATGCCCGCTGGGTAATCCCGGGATTTTATGTACAGCCAGCCTGCATCCCAGGACTGTGAAGGACCCTGCATATTCTGGTATCCTCCAAAGACGACCACTCAGTGTTTCACTACCTGCAACCACCAGCCTCCCTGCGTTTCGGGCGCATGCTGCCTTGAATTCCACTTTAGGCTCACGACGCTGAAGCTGTTGCAGTTCTTCCGTATCAGGTCATAGGTGCCTGGCCTGAGCGCTCACGCGCCATGTCGTGGTGAGATCCGTTTGGTTCAAGCAATCTAGACCCGTTAAGAGGTGATCGGAGGTCAGCATACTCTCACTGATGATGATCTTGATTTGCCGGCAGTCGCAACTATGACCAGCACGGTCTGCAAATGCACGAGGGACGACAGGCGGCCGAGCAAATCTCTCGACATGTAAAGAGCAGGGACACAACAGACCAGTGTGCTTCCCACCCTCTTATCTTGATGGCCTAGTCACTCCGGAGGGTGAGCCTACAACAAGATTTCCTTGCTCTTCAATCTTCAAGTCTCAGGAGCTGTTGCGAGTCACCAGTTGAACCACTACAGCACCAGCAGCAGCTACGACTGACCGTGCCAAGCCACCGAAAGTGCTCTTGCAAAGCTCGAAAAAGCTGCTGGCCGGTCCAGTGTGACAGGCCCATCGCCAACTGACAAAGCTCCGAAGCATTGCGAGAAGCATCGTGCGGCTTACCATCCAAAGAACTCCTGCAGCCTCATGGCCTCATGTGTACGTAAAATCGGAAAATCTCAAGGATCGTCGAAAACCACAGCATGTTCCCAAGTTGATCGGGTACAAATGTTTGTTGGCTTCCCTGGATGGCGACAGCAATCGGAGGAGAGCCTTCTCTGACGGCTTGCCCTGATGGCCTGTCAGTGTCACCACCGTACGCCGTAAGCTTCCGAGCAATCCCGCCGCGACAGGACACGGGCAATGTGTTTGCACATGAGTGCTGCCAAGCCGCTTGTCAAAGTCATGTTTGCGAAGATTCCACCTCAACAATAAAGGCTGGCGAGAAGTGCTACCTAGACCAATCCCAAAAGCCGAGACTTTGCCACACACCACAGACTCAACGCATGGACATGCATCATAATCCATGCTGTGGAGACTGCTATCCGAGAAGAAGAATTCCTCGCCGTTGACGACCACCTTCAGCATGCCAAAACGTCTTATGCTTGTGAGCTGCCATGCACGGCGGAGCTGGACCGTCATTATCACCTCTTTCAAAAAGTGTTTTGAGTGGCGCACGGACGTGTGATATGCGGAGGCCAACCCAGGAATAGTAAACAGCCTCGTGCGGAAGACAGTGCAAGGAACATGCAGGCATGCTGCGGCCCTTCACGCCCTGGAATGGCACACTGTCTGCACTGCGTAAACCTTTACACATCGGGAGAGTAGGCCCCGGCTATACAGGCGCGAGGTTACTTTGCAGGTTCATTCATCAAGCCAACATCCATAACCCCCGCTTCGAGAGTAGGACCCTTCATAATTATCAGACTGGCTGCAATGACGTGGCCAACTCCACCTGATTCGTTGCTTCGCCTGTCGCGTGCTCACACGAAATCTAGCCTCGTGGGCAAGTGCGTGGCAAAGGACATGCAAAGAGACTTGTGCGCTACCATACAGACACAAAAACAGACGAAGGAGAGACAGGATCGGGCAAGTAGATAGGCAGACAGGTTAGGCAAATGGGTGGTAGATGGATAGATAGACAAGTACATAGGTACACACACACACACACCGAAACACGATCAAAACCTGTACAACATCCCTCCTACTCAAGCACTAAATATAACGTACGGACTCGAAGTTGCTAACATGTAGGAAACTTTCGACATAAGTGCGACGCTGCGCAGTTTGCAAGAGCAGTGGTTAACCAGAGTTGTGACAGCCAAGCCTTCTGCAGGATCTGCATCTGGTGGTCGTACGTCAGACAGGTGCGATGGCCAACATCCGGAAGTTACCTTTCCACTTCTTGGATCGACAGCACCAGTGTCTGAAGGATGCATGAATAAGCAACCTTCAGAAAAATTCGCTCATTTGACAGTATTTGCTGTTGCATGTGTTTGCAGTATATTATTCCTGCGACGGCCAAACAATACGACTGCAAACCTCTGGAATGGTCAAGCAAGAAGGACCTGTTCTGTGCGGTGTCGCCAACTCTGGCTTTGTTGAGCCCTTCTGCGCATGCTTCAAACAGAAGCCTGAAAAGTGCTGTCCAAACAAGCTGGCATGCTGTATCCTGTTGTCGTGGCTGCGTCCGATTGTAAGGATGCAGGCCGAGTGTTGTCGGTGGGCCTTGCGCACTCCGACGAAGCAAATAATTTGCCAGCTTACATTTGCTATTGATGGGTATTATCGTTTCGGGCCACGCCGGGCGCATTGACTTCACGAAATCCCTCGGACACTTTTAACAAGGCTCTTAAGACCTACGATGCAGTATCCAGCATGCCAACACAACGAGCATCGAGCTAGACAAAACTTCCAGTGGCACACGTTCAACAACCGGGGCAGCAAGCGCGAATGGAAACCATGAGCAGGCATGTCTGAACATCGCGGCAATCTCACACTGAGTCTCGCACGTTCCCCATGGTGAAAAAGGCAGATCAACTCATCTCGGGAAACGGCATGATTCAACACTATCAAATACATTCATTGACTATCAAATACATTCATTGAAGGCTTCACATGCTTCCAGGAGGAGTAACTGTTACCGAACTTCTGCCAAATCTTGTGAACCAGGAATGACAAATACTTCCTCAGGCCTGCAGTGGGCACGGTATGGCGGCAGGCACATGTAGTGAAAAGAGTGCTCACGCCCAGAATGTAGAAAGCAAGGTGCAAGAAAACACAAACATGGCAGTTGCTTCAAGTGTCTGACGCAATGTGGCTATTGCTGTGGGGTGGGCAAGCACCAATTTGCTTGATCAACTGAGTGCTGCTCTCGACTTGCATGTCTACTTTTTCGCCTAAACTCGAAGCAAATCGCCTCAATATGCTGCTGCTTTCCTGCAGTGGGGCATGCACTGCAATAAACTGCATGTTAGTCTTCACATTGAAACCATCCGACTCAACTTGCATGTGATCTCCTTGGGCAAGCCCCGCCCGGATTCATCTCAAGATTGTTTGAGACTTCTGCTATGCCCTCCCTCCTCAGCATTGGATGTCGTGGGGAGTAGATGAATGATGTCTATGCAGGAGTCTGGTCACCGGGCTCTGGAGGGCATGCAACTGATTCAACGGACCTGTCCCTGCCAAGCTCAACAAATACGTAGGTCACAACGCTGACCGCATGCGGCCGCGCAGTCGCCATGCCTTACGAATGCTGTAGCAGAAAGGCGCACCGGTGCTTGGCTAGCTGTGAGATTCGTCTGATGCGACTGTCCGAAGCCTTTCAGCAAAAACTTCCATCTCGCTGCTTTCACGGCTTGGCCGTTGCTGCTCACGTTATCACAACTGACAACAAATTCTGCTCGTCAGCTGATGTCAGCACATGGAGCCGGCAGCAAACTAGAACCGAGTCGTCTGGCAAAGAAGGCTGGCTGGGATCTTCATGCCTCTGTCCAAGTAAGTGTTGCTGGATCGAGGGAATACCAAGCAACCATGTCCGACAGTGGTTTTGGGTCTGCTGCAGGCGGTCCCTTTTCAGGAAACTCACGTCTCGGCATGCGTCGAATTGCAAATCAATCCTCCCCAAGAGACTGCTGCCTTGACGCATCAAAGCATCTTCCTTAACGCAAAAAACATTTTCCTTTCCTGTTGGCTTGGCATCAGAGCTGCGCCCGTGAGTAGGTAGGTGATGGTGACTGCCTGAGTTGCGGCCACAGTTGTGGCCCAAGCAGTCTTTGCCAGGTGTAGTGTAGTCTACGAGTCTACGCATCTCTTGATTTTGTTTCCCTTCAGCAACGACGAAGTAAACACGCCTCCGAACTCCAAACTGCTGGACCATACTGCGCAGCTTGGAAAAGCTACCGTCAATCGTCATCCAAGGATATTGTTAGCTTACGAACAGGAAGTCTTCTCGGAGCATGTGTTCGGGAATGGAATTTTGATTTGCCAGCCTGTTTGCGCCCAAGCTGCCTTGTGCTGCCGTTCGAAACGCGGGGTGATCTGTCTTCCTGCGCTGTGCATGTGTTTGAGTCAAAGCTTTTGAGAGCTTAACGATTTATTCGACAGATGTGTTGCACACCAGTACACAAAATGTATTACAAATCGTCCCGTGGCACTAGCCAAGCCAAGCACGTTTGCTACTGCCTCTTCTAGTGCCTAGATCTTTGCTTGAACCTGTATCTCCAGTGGTCAACTGGAACAAGTTGGAATGACAACCCGTCATGTCCATTAACACATCTGTATGAAGCTTCTTGTGGTTCTGCACCGTGATTCGCGTGAAAACGCTGCTAAAAGGTAGCAAGAAGTTAGGCGGTGTCGGCAGAATCGCATACTTGGCACAGCCAGGCAAGGAAGCAATCTGCGGTTGAAGAGCTACTTGTCTTCCTCATGCTGGCTTTTACCCAACACCTGAACTTCGAAGACTTTCTGCCGCTCCTCGCCGTCTGTTGCGGTGCCTCGTTGTAGCATGCAGCAGAATGAAAGAACCACTATTGCTCGAACAACACAACACACAGGAGAAACGCTAGAAACTGCAAGCATCTCGTGGCGTCACAGCTTTATCTGCAAGCGTCATCGGCATCATTGTGGAGAGATGAGTGCTGACTGTCTCTAAGGTTCTGGCGGTTCCTCACACTAAGCCGCTTTGCAGTTGGCATTCTCGGCATGATGTGCGCCTGGGTCCGAGACGCGGCTGTTGCTTCGTGCCCTGTTTTCAATTGGGATCTTTGGTTTTGCGCAAATATGCACAAGTCATGTACTGGCTGACTGCGCAGCACGATCCCTTAAGCTCGATGTGGTCATTCTGCCATGTCAGCATATACAGACCCAAACGTCGAAAACCTTACAGTACTTACGACATACGCAGTGGCAGGAACTATTTGCTCAGCGAGACCATCCCATCAGTCCAAAACGCGTAAAAGCACGATTAATGCATGGCACTGTGGCAGGTGCACGACTTCAATAGGCGGAAACGCCGCACGAGACATCGGCGGGAGCGTGATTTTGGAAGTGGAAGCACGAGTCACATAAACAAACAGGGGGGAATGTACGGGACTGTGTGGGAAACGAGCCGCACACTAAAATGATCTAAAAGACGTGGGGCAGCGGCGGGAAAATGGTTGCCAGTATGGAGAAACTCCAGTACCCCGAGGAGCGGAATGGCTCTGCCAGGACTTTAACGACTGTGAGCGTTTTGGAAACCGAAAGGAATCCGGGGGCGTGGCGGGAGCACGAAGTGCACCAGAAAACACACCACAACATGTTCGGCACCGCGGCGGGAGTGCGGTTCATCAAGTTCGGAACCCAAAAGCACCAGAGTATTGGCATCTACGATGATTTCGGGATCGTGGAAACTGCCCGAGCGGAATTGCGGAAATCGAAATTGTGCACCGCACCGCAGCGATCTCATCCGTTTGCAGTGAACATCAGAACCCCATAGTGTTACCACAATGTTTGGTGAAAGCCATCCATCTGAGGTCACATCCTGTGCTCGTTTTGCCTTCTCCAGGAGGGCAGGGTTCTTCTCCAGCTCCTCGGTGCATGAAGCAATGGCGTGCGTGCAAACAGATGCAAATGCATGTGCCGTACCGGACTGGATCGAATGCAGACTGATCTTTGCCAGTGTTGAAAGGCAACTCAAGCCTTTTGCTAAGCAAAGCGGCCACTGCACGATTGTAGATGTCCCTTTTGATGGACAGGATGCGCACCTCACCCACTCTCCAACTGTCAGCAGCTGTCCGGCCAGAAATGGATGGCAACTGAACAACTTGCCATGCTCGCGCTGCGAGTGTTGTTGATCGGAGCGTAGACACTAACCAATACATAACAGTAGGTGGCCTGTAACAGAAAGCCTCAAAATGACCTCATGCATCTCTGAGAATGTTTCACTGCTGGGAAACCCATTCCCAAGGCCTTGCTGGTGCTGAGGAACGCGTCGAAGTCAGGAGTGAAACACTCTGATGTCAGTGCATCCCTGCATCCAACGGATCGTCCAGAAAAAGCACTTGCAGGTTTCCTTATGTTTTACTTTCGTAGCAAGCTCCCACCACGCGCATCTGGCCTCGCGAGGACCGAAAACCTGCAGCTCTCGCAGTCTGTGAATAGGTGGCAGCTTATTGATTTCGACCGTAGCAGGCAAGGCTCCACACAATTCAAGCTCACATCGGATACGACCAAGACAATCTAACACCAAGGAACCACCCAGTAAAGCCCTCACCTCCAAGTCGCCGCATCTGCTACCGAGACATCTGCCCGAAACTGCTTCAAAATACACTGAGCGTGGCCACATACCACATGAAATCGAAATTATTCGAAATTGTTGCGTGCCTGTGTCAACTCGTGTAAGCTCAAAACCTCTCAGGGCTAGGTTTTGGGACTGACTTTGAGGCGCGAGACGCTCCATTCTCTGTCTTGAAGGACTCGTGGCCAACAAAAGCTCCGAGTCGTCCTGAAACAGGTCTGAACTGACACTAGTCTGCCAAGACTGGCATTGACGCCCTCATGCCAAATCAGTTCAAACCGCTAGGTCCTTGCAATATCAGGGTGCACCGATCGGTCTCGTGCCCGCGACTGTAAAGCCTACAGCTCGTGGAAGTCGGGCCCACACTGCAACCCGCAGAGCTGAGATGATTGCACGACCTCGTTAGAGCACATGTGCGCTCGATCTAAGATCCGGGCATGTCGCTCTCAGTGGGGCCCTGCCCTGAGGCTGCATTGCGCCTTAAGTTCATCACCTGCCAAAGCGCTGGTGAATGGCAGCCGAATTAATTGCTGTCTTCAAAAGCAGGGTGAAACATGGTATGAAACATGTCAGTAGATTTGCTCGATCGTTCAAGGTTGCGAATAACAGTCGGAAGTTTGCTAGTGCTAAAGCAGCTGACCCAGCGTTCTTCTAACAAGCTCTATGCTTTCATTCTCGAACCATTCGTTCTTGGCCGGTAAGTCGGCGGCATAAAACTCTTCACGTTCAGACCGCGATCAGCAGTAACGCCCGATAAAGAACTGTCAAAAGTATCAAGTGCACTAGAACTTACCTGCAAAGCCAAATGACAAAGGCTTTTTCGGAAATTTATGCAATGACATCCATGAGGCGACGTTTCCTGCAGTTGAACTTTCCCGAGATTCCCCCTTTTATTCACTATTCCCAATGATCTTTAGACATCCTTTTGCGATTAGCACGTAGTCTTGCCTCCCAGCAGTGCTGGGACAAATGATATGGCCTCCCGCGAAACAGTAGCTCCAGCCAAAGTAACACTTTGGTCTCAAGTCTGGCAGGTATAGCAGCAAAGCTATCGTTTACAGGTGCGGGTGTGCGGATGAGAGAGTTGACGCGAATCCTTGCGCTATGTGTCACAAGCGATTGCATGTGTCGCCGGGTCCTGCAAGGGGGAATTCCAGATCCGTGGGATGCATGTGTCAGGTCTCGGCCGACGTCGCGTCGTGGGGTGAGAAAGCAGGAGGCTGACTGTAATCATAAGATCGGTGTCTTTGTTCGCAGCGGTTTCTGAAGTTTGGCGCGGCGAAACACAGCCGTTCGCTTTCCGGCTCGTCTGCTCTTTCTGGCGGTTTGCTCAACTGCCAAGGAGAACCCTATGTAAATCATGAAGGGCTTGTCAACCACATGCCATCTAAACCTAAACTGTTATACTTGGTGCAGCCGTTACTGCACCAATGCCCGTGAAAAGCGCCTCTGCCTCACCAACGAGCCATGTCACGGTCTCGTACTTGAGTGGACAGCGGCCGCCTGGATCACCATATATTCGGGTTTGAGGTGGGCTGCAGGACGTGTCTTCCACCTTCTGTGAAAGCTGTTCGCGTCAGATGTGCGGAGATTGCATTGACCTGCAGGGCTCGCAGCTGAACTCTTCGTAAGGGGATACGACGTTGCGGCGTTCACGCAGTCGTCCTCAGCCGTCTGCCTCCTCCAAACTCAGCTTGTCTGCTTTGGACCGCCAAATCGGGTTGAACACGCCTGCGCATGTGCAGACATGCCGCAGGCATACACAGCAGAGCACGAAACCTGGAATTCGGAAGCTTCGGTCTATGGTAGTGCAATCACACAGCAAGCAATCCGGGTGTGCCTAGGTCGAACTTCCGTTCGTTTCGACCCTGGATCTTCAACTGCCGGTCAACATCGACCTGAGACACGGCATCCGAAAATACCTTGAGGCTAAAGGCCCTGAGCTCTGCGGACGTACGTGAACTCTGAGACACTCAACACAGGCTTCCTTGGCAATGAAATGGAACCATCCGTGCGAGGAGACTGAGACGTGATGCATAGACGTCGGTCTCGTCCACGATTTCCTCCTGAATGATCTCTTCTACGATGTCTTCCAAGGTCAACACCTGAGCAACATTGGAGATACGAGGATACTACAACACTGCCGTACATGACGGGCCAGGACTTCGATCCCTCGAGCGCTCTTTTTCACTCTATCGAAGCCGCATCTGCGATTCTGTTGTTCAGAGCATCAAGGGCTAGAAGCTGGCCCTCCACCAGCTGCACGTCTTCGCACGTGTCGTTCTCCTCCTGCTCACAACTGGTGCATTCAACGCTCGTGTACCTTCGCCTAGTCTTGCATGTGCGACAGTCCCAGGGCTTGAGGCCCACTAATTCCAATTTCGATGGAATGATCAGCGCTTCTGTCCAAAGCCTGGCACCTGTCACAACCCGTTCCACATTGCAATGACATGTCGGTCCAGCCACCGCAGTGTTTGGCTTGCCAGTTCCTTGGCCGATTGAGATTTTCTCTCTGAGAGGCCTCCGACGGCTTGTCGGATCCCAGAGCCCGCACAGTGGCACAGCTTGATTCAGCAACAAGCTCAGTTCGACATGAGTGCAAGGTGCAAGCTGGTTGTGTGCATGATCCCTTATCCCGGGCTCCCCGTCACCCCGCCTGGTATCCTTCCCAAGGCTGTCTGTGATGTTGTCGCAGACATCTAGCTGTCGTTTTGGAGGATGGGATCAACGCCGCGATGTAAGTGTTGACAATCGCTGAAATTAGAACTGTTGGTGTACTTTCGCAAATTTTCAACATGCGAGGCAACTTCGCATCTCAGGCATGGCCGCCTAGGAAGTCGTCACAGTCGTCATCTGCATGATCGTCGTTGTTTTTGTGGGAGCAGAATACGGATACACTTTGCAACGGAGCAGAACCGAACAACGAGGCGACGGCGGAGGCAAAAAAGGCGGGGAGACTAGGACTCCAAACAAAACCATAGGCACCACACCCTGCGGGCGGGAATACTATCGTTGGGCGGGCCCTGGATCGTGCACGGCCGCTCCAGGCGTGATCTTGGGCTAGTGGCGCTTCCGAAATCCCACTGGCGGAAGGCAGCGATGACAGCAAGTGGCCTGGTTCCTGGAAGATTACCGGGGCATCACTGATAACACCACGTTAATCAGTATCATGCTCGATGCCGTAGCTACTGTCCCCGGATTCCAATCCCGTTTCCACGACGGAAGGATGGCTCGAAAGAATCCGCTCGCCGTCTTTTTACGGTCAAAACGAGCCCCCCAACCTGCCCTTCTCATGGCACGAATCTCTTTGTGGCCGAGCATCTACATGCTCGGTCTCGCCCCGGTCTGTGAGCACGTGTGTGCACTGATTGAACAGCTTGCTCTTGGCCGTGGTAGAAGCTGTCTGCCGCCAACCTTGGCTGACCAAGCGGGTCCAAACGACGGAATATTGGTAAGCACGACGAACAGGACATCCTTCCTTCTCCTGCTGCCCTGGTTCAGTTTATATACAATTATATAGGCATAACGATATATGTTTCCCCCCTCCCCCTGTGGAACGGGACATCCTTCCTTCTCATGCTGCCCTGAAGCAGAAACACGTTAAGCTTTGCCATCGCCAAGTTGCTTAACTCGCCTTGCGCGATCATGTGCTCGACCTCTGGGTTACTCCACCGATGTCGATCATCTTGCTCGACCACCAATTCGGCAGACTTTCCAGAACCAAGACCAACAGCTTTAACACGCAGTAGGCCGTTTGCATCGATATCCAGGGTGATGTCTACCGCGCTATCTGCCGCAGTCAAGCCCTCGAGCTGAAGCTCTGCCAGCACCTGGTTTTGAGCGGCCAGGGAAGCCTCACCTTCCAGCAGCTGAATTGCAACATTGCTAGAACGCGCTGCGAATCTCCTCGTTGTTTTCGTTGGAAAGATGCTGTTCCTCTCGATCAGTCTAGTCATCTTGATGTCTCGGTGCTCTTTGATGGTCAGGACTTGATAGTTTGCCAGGCTCATATGGGGTTGAACTTGGAGATCGTGGAGGAAGCAACTGGCGCTGGTCCATCCCAATCGGGAGCTGATAGAATCCTTACGAGCTTCTGACATCAAAGCGTCATGTGAAGCCAAGCAGGCACGGCAAACACGGATTCTACGACAAAACGGAAAAAGGGAGGACAGCGTGGCAGCAAACATAAGCCGAGCATGTGCAGTGTACAAGCTCTGAGAAGCGCTCAAACAATCTGCACGCAACAAAGTAGATCTATGTGCACAGAGAGGACGTACCGTTTTCGTCTGCGATATGAAAAAATATGCTGAGATGCATCGTCTCCTCATCGGAGCTGGGATTGACACTTCGGCGACACAAAGCCCTGAAATCCGATACAGCTGATGCGAGTGCTGTGTCAAGTCCTTTGAGCCAGCTTTTTTTTCCCCGCACCTTTTTACGACAGCATCCATTGAGACTGCTACTGTTCTCCTTATTATTCTGGTTGTCCATTTTCCGCCAAGAAGACGCACGACTTCCAGATGCTCAAGATGCAGCATCGCTTTCTAATGACTGTTCTTGTGTTGCCAGTGCAGTGCTTCTCACCTGAAAGGGTTGTTATCGTTCCAACCCACAAGCATAGCTTCAACATGGCCACAAGCAATACGGGAGGTACCTGCCAAGCTTCATGGCGAGGCTGGGTGCGGGCTTGTTCTACAATATTCTACAACCCACCTAGGTGCTTGCTTCCAAACTTCGACGAGCATGCCGGCAGTGCTCTCCCCAGCCAGTGTGAGTTCCAGGACCAAGTCTCCACCCAAAGCGCCTCAATCGTCCAATGTCTAGTTTCGCTAAGCTAACAACAAACGTCGAGCACCTGCTTCATTTTACTTTGCATTCGTTGCTGTGGACTGTCGACACCCATCTGAGGACACCAAGCCACAGAACTTCCGACTGCACTGCTTTGGTTTTGCTGCAAGCCATGTCGCACTGAACACTGCAGCACAAAACTAAACTTGATCGACAAGCCACGGGCTTCTACAAGCAAGTTCTCCTCCGGCTTGGAGATGTTGGCCTCAAGGAGTGTGCAACCAAACCAGTCTTAGGTTTTTCTGCCATGGGCCCATGGATGCGGACAACCGGATAATGTTGTGTTAAAATCAACCGTGGCCCTGCACGGAGTGCAGTCTCCTTACGCTTGGCTACTAAGGCTGAGTTCCATGTCTCAAGCCGATTAACGTATGTTGGCAGCATATAAGCTACCGGTAGAACGAATCTTCGCGTGCCTTCTCACCAAGCAGCTGTTCTATCTCTCCACTCGTACTGTCTAGAATTTGGTGAAATTCACGTTCTGAGCGCCGCAAGAGGATTCAACGAGATGGTCCCAAAGTGCTATCTTCTTTCTCCCAGGGTATGTAAGTCATGTAAGTCCAACCTCCATCGGCACGAGTACCCGATTCCAGCGCCAAACAAAAATTGAGTCTCGAGGTTCAAAGATCTGTCGGCCTGTAACACCCGCGCTGGAAGTGTCGCGCCGGGCTCCAGGAGGCGAAAGCCCTCCGAACTTGCCTCGATGTGATTTCTTAGACTGCAAGCACTTGTGTTCGTACTTCACATATCCTCAGCGAGTCTTCCTTCCGTTACCATCTCGCCCGCATCAGGCGCACTCGGTCTTCTTGCCGCTACCCGAGAGTATCGCATTAGTCCAGGCGCAATGCCAAGGGAAAGAGCCGTGACATCGAACAAGCACCTGCTCGAATGTCACATTCCGAAACCCGCAGAACAGCGTTCACTGCAAGTACTGCTAGCTGCTAGCCGCTTTAATAACTCACAGCACTTTGTGTGCGCGGCACATGAGGATTTCATCATCTCTCGGAGCCGCCGGCAGAGTCGAGCGAATGGTCGTATGCACCTTCCGCCTGCGCTTCACAGAGTCCACGCATGTCGAAGTATGCAAAGCAAGGTTGGAACGTGTCTGGCCTTGAATTTTTGATCTTCAGTTTCATTTCAGAGCTTTGCTGAAGATTGGCAGGATCTGGCAGAGTCCGAACCGCCTTAACGTGCTCCTCGGCCTATATTTTCCTCATGCTCGTCATGGTTTCCTTGAAGAGTCCGGGGGCACCTCGCAGCTTGCTCCTCTTCGGTAAGTCCACGATTGAGGGCCAGCTTCGTGGTACATCGGATGTTATCAAAGCCTCGGATGGACGTGGATGTCAAAGAACGAAACCGAGGCACAAGCAAAGAATAAAATTAAGTCTCGGCCGTGGATCTGGTGCTCGGTGCCTGGACATGGATCTTCAGCTCTGCCAAGTTCGAGACAAAGGCCCCAGTCCTGGCACAAAGATAGCTCCTGTCTTCCCCGACAAGTAAAACCTCCTCAAACCTCTCGCCTGTGCCTGTGTGCCCTCGTACTGAGCACAGTCTTCACCCTGGACAACTGACAAACCATCTGCAACTCCATCATTCCTGATCTACGCATGGCAAAACTGTGTTGCTGCATGGCCTCCCCGATCGGCGCGCTTTCTCCAGCTCATCTCCCAAAGCGCCCAAAGCACTCCGGATTCCATCCTTAGTTTGATGATGTTTGGAAGCTCGCCGAGTTGTTGGTGCTTGGCGTGTTTGCCAACATGTCCGGTCCGAAAGCTCGGCAAGCACATCGTTCGTCTTGTGCATGCTTGCATTCACTTTCGAAGAGATGTGGTTGCTGGCTTTTGAGGAGCGAACATCAGGAATCCTGGCCCAAACCTGAAGATCCTGAAAGCTGGGTCCAAGTAGGCAAACAGTAAGGTCACCGGCCTGGGTCTTCAGAACCGTTTTCCATTTAGACTCTTGGCCATTTCTGCCCCTGCCCAATTGCTGCATAGCTCCTCCTGCCGGGTTGAGCCGCCGCAGTTCAGCTTTGTTGGCAGCACAGAGTCATAAGAGAAAAAACATAAAGGAACGCATCCCCAAGCATCTTTCACATTCTTCAATGCTCCAGCCGAGACTCTAAGCCAGCCACGAGCCACAGGGTGGTGCTGCTACAAGCGTCTCCTGGGACACTCCGAAGCTTTTCTGACTTCATTGCAAGTACACGCTCGCACTGCCTCCTTCCCCTTGTAAGGCTTCGGGCTTGCGATCCCTTATCCCGCAAGCCTGCCTTTGAGGGGCCTTGAGCCCTGTGATTGCTCGTTTGTTCTGGTTGGAGACTCTTTTTTACCTGGCTCGTGTCCGACATGTCTTATGCTTCTTTCTCACCGCCCATGCCTGCACATCTATTCCAAAGTGTGATTTAACGCATTGGAAGCTATGCACCCAGAAACTTGCAGATGCACGATGCCGTTGTTCGAACTCAGCTGAATAGCTTGGGCCTACCTCTTCTTACTTGGCAGCTCACTTATCTTCTGCAACATCCAATTCACTATAACTCGCAGCTCCTGAGACGATTGGTCATGATTTTGTTGAAGATACTTCAAGGGGCTGTCGATAAAGACTCATACAGGCGGGTTGAAGGAGACTAGCAGTACGAATGTCACTCGAAGTCCTCGAACAAAGGAAAAGAATACTCTCGTCACGAAAACGACCACATCTACAGCCTCCTGCAGGTTTGCAGCTCCTGCTGAAAGATCAAGGAAACACGCGACAAGCTGGAGACCAAGTGTCGTGGCAAGCAGGTGATCACATTCTGGAAAACGGCATCATCTGCATCCAAGCCGACTATAGCCACATCGCGCAGAGTTTCGGAGTTCAGACTCAGAAGCCGCATGCCCAGGTGCTCCACATGGGCTCTGTTACTCGGAAACTCGGGCCGGTACATGCGCAAGGAAGAGAGATTCGGAAAGAGGGGCATGAAGACGTGGTGTGGATCAACGTCCTCAAGACTTAGCTCCAGCGTCTCCACCGAGCTTGCACTTGATTCGAAGAATTTGCGGTTCCTTATCAACGCCCCCAAAAGTCGGGGCAGCTTGCCGTGTAGGTCCAAATGTACCAGTGCGGCTTGTCTAGGGTCATCCTGCCTGGTTTCCAAAAACTGCACAAGGATGTCCATGATTTCAGCCGGCATGTTGGCATCCCAGTCGGTAACAACCAAGGCGATTTCCTCGAAAAGACCCGTTGGCCGACCGGCCACGCCTAGATCTTCAGCCAGATGTTGCACATGCGATATCAGCAGGTCTTTGCTTGAAATCTGGTTCAACAGCTTCGCGTCTGCCGAGACCGTGCGCTTCTGCTTCTTCCGAATGGTTGCTTGCAGCCTTCAGCCCAAGAACTTCCCCTGATCTACGCAGTTTATGTTAAAAGAACAACAGTGGAACCACCACTCGCAATTTCCCGCCGGGTGCCGCCTTGTGGTACTGCGCTGGACCTCTGCAAGGTGTCTAGGTGACAGCAGACGGCCGCAGTCTGTCCACAGATCAATCCGCCACCTGTTCACGTGGGGAGGACTTTCATTGTCAGCTGCAGTTGCTGTGCACCAACTCTTTCTCTATTCATGCACTGGTTGCTGCCCCAGGGCGCAGGCACATTGGTAGCTTTGCTCAGGTACAACTTCAACTGCGAGGCATTAGGCACCGTCGCTCCTTCGCCACCGATCCTTAATAACACGTAAAAAGACAAGTGTGCTCTTCTCGGGAACGACGAAGACCGCGCTGTGACAAAATCACTATGGCAGCCTGGGCCTAGACATAAGCTTACAGCGGCTCAGCTGAACGTCATGCTCCGAGTCCAGGACCACGCCGCACCCACTCTCTGTTTTACACATTAACTTTCCTGTCAAGCTGCGTCACTACTTTCGGCACTGACGGGTGGCCCAGCACAGCGGGCAGCACTACTTGTATTTCCATGGGCCGCTGTGCATCCAGCAAGTGATCCTGTATGGCCTTGGACCGAAAAGCCCTCTGCCCTTTTGCGCTTCAGACCCCTCAGCCTACGAACATCTTCTCTGTGATTTTTCTGCTGCCCTTGAACGACAGCGGCGCAAGGCGGACACATCGGGCACAAGGCATGGACTCACCGACGCAATGACTCGTGTACGCCGGTCATCTCCAGGGCCCTGGCACCGACGATCTCAAAGTACGGGTCCGTATCCACGGTTGTGACCGCCTGAAAGTACTGCTTAATTTCTAGGCATCTGCAAAAAAGTGACTAGACCGCGCAGCAGCTTTGCTTTGCCGAAAGCCTGGGCAGAAACACATGTCCAGGCGCTTTAAAAAAGATGTTACATCGTCTGTTGACGATGTTTAGCGAATGCGGGATAACGAGACCCACACATTCATGACGGCCAGATGCTACTGGAACCACCTTGTTGCGTCGAACCAGCACATCCTGTCTTTCTTGAACGCTCAACAACTTGCACTAACGCATCAGTCTCAGACTGAGATGCTTGGAAGACCTTGGATATCGCACCATGTCACCTATAGCCATTTCCTATGCAAAATACTGAGACAACTTGTTGGACCTGTTGTTCAATCGCAGCAGCCGGTGCGTTTTCCAAGACCAAGGTAGCCTGTACCGGGAATGGAGCAACAGTCGGTCAAAATGATGGTGCATCGAAGCCTCTCGCGATGAAGCGCTTCGTGGGAGGTAAGTCATTCGGTGATGCCGCAAGAGTATAGACACGCAAGTTCCCGGTGGTTGGGAAAAATTTCTGGGCTGTCAGAAGCGTTTCAAAAATAATTTGAGCTGGGCAGGCCTGCAAGGCCTGCCCAGCTGTGGCGGAGAATTGCAGATGCGGAAATGTGTGTTGATGCTGGAAGTTCAAATGCGGCCAGTCTTGAACAGTTATCCCAAAAATTATTTCGATCTCGCAACGTCACGTTACGATGTGCTCTCAGGCCAGCACACAGGGTGCATTGTACTGCAACTGTCGCTCCGTCGGCTACAGACTTTGAGTTGCGTACTTTCATGCGGGTACTCTCCCGACCAGCATGCAAGTCAAGGTGCTCTCCGACCGACGATGGTAAGCTGTCGTTGTCGTTCCCGAGACGATGTGCTAAAGCGAACCCGTGTTGGCACACGGAGCATCGCAACGAGACCAGGTACACTGAGTGGCTCATGTTTCTTAAATTTGACATGGAGACACATGGAGTCTTGCATCAGGCGCGCCCGGGAGAGTTCGCACCTCGCTGCCACATAGCTCTTTAACTTTAGATGCAACTGACACTTCCTATCTGCAAGTATGTTCTGTCATGAAGAAACAGGCTGGCAAAGAATTTACAAACTCTTCGGGGCTTTGTTGGCCTCGTGCATTCCTGCGCACTTGGAGACTCGCCACACATCATGAGTCTGGCGACTCTCAGACTGACAGTCAGCTTCCAAGCCCGGTGCATTGGTGACAAACAGAATCAGGTTGCTACAGTCCACACCCACGTTCCAACGGAGATGTGGCTCACAGAGTACAAACATTCAAACAAACACAATACAATCAATAGAACGACTCGATGCTGCAGGCGAAAGCCTTTTTCGTTCTTTACAGCCCGCTTTTTCTCCGCATCTTCTCTCCGGCTCACCAAATCATCACAACAGAATTCGGGACAGCACGCTGACGGCGCCGGAGACAAGGGATCCCAACCTTGGTGGCCAAATGCGCAAACAGTTCTCTTGCGAGCAGTGGCAGCAGCATGGTCAAAGCTTCTTCTGAGCTGTGCCTGCCTGAGTCTACGTGCTCCCTGTTTCCTGTATTGTAGCTTAGTCACACAATGAACTGCTTCAGGAAGATTTCCTGGGTTAGCTTCACGTCGTGGATGAAGAAGCCGGCAGAGCTGTCCTCTCAGCCATGTGCAGTGTGCCACAGCCAGAGCATCAAGCCCTGTGCCCGGAAAATGTTTCTGCAACTGCAAACGAGTAGCTGTGATGTACCTTACCAAGTACTGACGGTCGAAATCGTTCGGCAAGTCGGATTGGAGTTGATTGACGAAAGCTGGTATGGCACGACATTTCCTTGCAAGCAGGTTGTCGCGCGGACAGCTCCTCTCGCTGTGCTGACAAAGGGATCTATATTATCGACATTGAATCTGCCAAGAGACTCTGTCAAAGCAGCCCCATGAGCACACACACGCATGTTCAGGATGAAGAGAACCGGCAACGGCACTGACGCGAGGATTTCAGCAAGTAGTGCCACAGGTTCGACGTCGGTGCGAAATGCAAAGCTTACTGATCCACCAAGAAAGAAGGCGAAGCCAACTGCCCCCACGGCTTGCAAAGCCACAAAGCTGCCGGCAAGCTCTCGTCCAACGCACTTCAGTAGTGCTTGCATTGCATTCCAGCTGCTCACACCCTCGATGAAGTCTGGGCAATCGACTAGCTCTCCGCACCAACAGTCCAAGACTTTGTCTAGCCCTAGGAGGAGATGAGACTGCACGTAAGTGATCACCATGAAGACGGCACTGGACACTGCAAAGCAAATCAAGAGCAAGATCTGCACAGCATACACCGACCAGATCCAGGCCTAGGCTGGAAACATGGCAAAAAACCATGATTCAATGCAAGTATGAGCATCGTGACTTGGAGACGTTTCTCTCCTAAGGAGGAATCATAGCAGAATCGTACAATGCCATCTCAAGCCAGCGGGCCGGCTCCTCAGCATAAAGTTGCGTGGCCCTCTTTTGGCCCATCCAGATTTCCAAGCTGTAGTGAACCACACCGCACAGGACTAGGCAAAGCCAGGCCACAACATACCTGCACTTCCATCACTTGAGAGTGCTTTCGCTGAGTTTAGGATGCACAAGATGCTGCACAGGTCAACGTCTACTGCTTTGTAAGACGAAACTAGGGTTCGCGGTTGTGGTCGAGCGAGATGCCTTGTAGTTTAGAGGTCCTTTCGAGGTTGAAATTTTTTTGATCCATGCTGGCGGAAGCATGTATACGCTTGTCTACCTACCTTCCGTCGTGCCAGTAAGTGGATGGTGGGCATGAGATAAGTGCTCCATCTCATGACCAAACATGAGAACGTTCGGCACATTCGCTTTAATCGTCAATGCTGACCATTCCGATCTCGATTGATCTGTGCAAAGGTCTTGGTTTCACAACGACGTTTGATGGTTGGGCCCTGAGCAAGATAGGCGATTGGTTCTTTTCGACTGATAGTCCTTCAGAACGATGCATGCACCGTGCCTGACTACGGCAATAGTAAGGCACTGGGTTCTTGAGTTCGCCTGCAACAAGACTCGTTGACCTTGAAACTACTTTGAAACTCAACTTGCACTCATCTGTTGCACCTAGGATTCTGAGACTTCAGTTGTGGTGCTCGTCAAAAGTTGGGGATCAGCCACAGCAACAAACCGAGATTGTGCCGATTGCACCATGGCTGTTAAAGAAGGCACGTCTCCCCGGTGCAGCACGTATGCGAACAATCTAGAATGTATTGACAGCCAAAAAACCCTTCGGCAGGGGTCTCGAAAAGCTTGAATGGTAAATCGGAGACAGAAAAAAGATTTGATTTCGAAGGCTCTGGCTTTCTGTTGAATTGGGCCGTGAACGCTCCCTGCGAATTGACAGAGTGTGCAATTGAGCCACTTGCGCCATTCCTGGCCACTCACCTCGCTCCAGTGCAGCTTGAAGTCGGCCACGAACATGTGTAACCGATCCACTGCCAGGTTCCTGGAGTGTAGAATGATTTCTTCAGAAGGGCATGGCTCAGTCGTTGCTGACATGTGTGGGCTGTAAGACTGCTCCTACAAGCGGCTTTGGTCGAACTCTGCTGTCAAGGTTCAAGTCTTCTGATAGCAGGGCTCTCCGCAATCGGGCGACGCAAAACGTTGACACCAAACCATATAACAGGCCTGGGCGAGAAGAACATGCTTACCTCCACAACTTCGCTGCAAGGTGTCTAATTTGATTCGTGTGGCTAGACGCCAGTCTGAAGCTCAAAGCCTGTGAGGTGTTGAGCTCCTCTTTGAAGGTCTTCCTGAGGCAGCACTCAAGGTTGCCCTTCAAAGGGTATGGGGCGCGACGTATATGGAGGTCGACATCTGCTGTTGCCACATCTTATCAACAGGGCGTGTGCTTTGCACGTAGTCATGTTTTCACCTGAGTGCCGAGCAAGAATATGAGGAATGCAGACAGCACAAAGACGGGTATACCTCAAATGCACAAAGAACTCGTCGTTGTTGGTGAAGAACTGCATGAGAAGTAAGCTTCTAAGCCAGTTCCCTAGAACTACGCTGCATGCCGAAGGTTTTCCTCGGGCCATCATCCACACATGGTATAGAATGCCATAGAATAAGATAAATGTTACTTACACTCTCACGGTTCGCAGTCGGATGCTACAGTGGTACAAGGATTGCATCATTCAACTAACTAACATGACGGAAAAGAATGTTCGACAAGCTTTGAGCTTTCGACTCCCGCAACTCATTCTTCTACAAAGCTCGCATATGACCGCCCGACCGACCAAGCGACACGCGTTCAAACAGGTTTCCATGTGTGCTCACATAAGCCAAACAAGGCGCAGAACTCTCTGCAAGAAGTTCACGAAAGGTGGCAAAAGCAATTTCTGCAAGCCCGGTGTCCGACAGTAGCCACCAAATGCGGGAAATGTGATCACTGAGGCGCGAAAGACAGACTGCGTGTTTTGCAAACTTTGCGGTAAACTATTGATGGCGGAACACGCGATGTCTCCAAAGGATCGTTCGACCACTGACTGCAGTCACAGAGGCCCACCCGTGCCAAAAAATGGAAGTACCGTCGGACCATGTGTTTTCTTGCTTCTGCAACACACAGGTTCCTGCACAGTCAAACGCAACCGCCGCACCGGAGTGTGACCATACTTTCTTACTTCTGTAATATGCTCACACGAAAACACTGACATCAGACTGACATCTACTGACTATGTGACTATGCCTTTTGTCTTCACTTCACGGTTTCGGTGCCTCTACAACACATGTCATTCACCCAGTTGCAGCAGCATCTCATGCACACGTCTGCGTGGCTAGACACCAGTTGCAAAAACCATAATCCAAACTGTGAGCACGTTGTCCTATATGACATCTGAGCGACATGCACGTGGTCCTCTCTTCAACACAGATATCTGCGCGCGATTTTAGGATTCTGCCTCTGATTCAAGCTGGCCCTCCCCATTGCACAAGCAGCGTTACTCCGTGAACTCTCGTCGCTGCGGGCCAACGTTGGGGGCGCGACTGGGGAAGGGGCGCCGGGCGTTGGCGTGACGGCGCCATGGACAGGGACGGGGCTGGGGAGGCTGTGGGCCGCATCACCCGCGAAGGCTCAGCCCCCACCGCCCTGGCATCGCCCCGTGAATGCTCGCCGCCCAGCCCCGTCCACGCCGTTTACGGCAGCATCGCCTGCAAGCCAGCTTTGACCCTGTTCACGGGAGCTGCCAAAGCGTTCCCCAGCCTTCAACAGCCCCGTCCCCGTCCACGGCATCGTCGTCACTCGAACGCTCGACGCCCACAGCCTTCCGCAGCTCGTCCCTGTCCACGGCAGCAAAGCCCGATCGCCGCCCCGCAGGAAGGGAAAACTAAACAAGAACCCAGCTCTCCAATTGTTTTTGGGAACAAGGGTGTGGGGCTTTGCTAGTGGAAGGAGGATCGGAGCCCCCCTTTCCCTGCAATCAATAAAATTCATACGTTACCTGCCCAGCTCTGCAAAGAACCACTGAATTTATCAATCTTTGTTGGGGGCCGCCACCCGCTGACCAATCTGCTTGAACATCTCGATTTTTCATTGAGGATAATGATTACTGCAGTCGTTCTGATCCCAGGTGCCGGCCGCCCAGAAGAGGCAACCTGGTATTGCTAGGAGAAGCCTGGAACCCAGGTCCAGCTCGACGGGGTCTGGCTCCTCTCAGGATTCGGACGGTCTATGACGACACCATGATGACGAACATGATTGTCATTCCTACGTTATCACTGCACGGTGCTGTCTGAAAACCATTGTCCGTCAAGCACAGATTTGTTCGCCAACTGGTCCTGGTAGCTGAGGTGTGTGGCGGTGTGCGAATCCAGGATACAAGCTTGTGACTCCTGGTTCATGACAACAAGGGTTGAGCCAGCATGCTGTCGATATCGAGGGCGCTTCTGCGCAGACTGCGGCAGAACTGCTTTCGGCAGTACATCTGCATCGTCAACATCCGAGGTGACAAGTCCAGGTACCGGGGATTCTGGTGGTTCTGGCAGTGCCAACTCGTCGTTCTTTTCTGGCGCTATCGGCAGAAACTTGACAGACGCTTCCGCAGGAGCTACGTGGCTTTTGCGGCGCTCAGATCTGATTTCGCAAACCTCCTGCAGAAAAGCACTCTCCAACTCCACCAGGCTCTGTATTGAGGAGACGGGTCGACGTGGCTTTGCTCGAACCTCCTTGGGTGAGCTTGGGTCCTTTGGTGAGGTTGGTCTGTGTTGCGATGGCCTCCGTATGTCGGCCAAGGCCTCAACGGAATCAGCAATTCTCTCCAAGTGAGCGAGAATTGTGCGCGTAGCCTCGTCTTGACCAAGGTGTTCTGCAAGTTTGGCATCCAAGAGCCTTTCAAGCCTGCTCTCCAGAATGTCTCCTGTCGTGCTCATGCCGCCTGTAAAACTCGCCGTCCCGCCGAAACTGCTCGCTGCGAAACTGGCTGACACTGTCGATTCCTCCTGCATGCCGCCACTTTCCCTCTCACATCAGGCATGAGGCCATGTAGCTCGAGCCATCTGGCAATGTTCCACAAAACGCATCAAACATAAGGCCTGGGGCGCTGTTCGGAAAATCGGTGCCCCTAGATACGACGGAACCAGTAGCAAAGCAGGACTTTTCCTAGATCCTGACGCTGGCACCTTTGCCGTCCCTTTGCCTGCCTCTATATATCACTCGCTGCTGCACAGCTTGTGCAACATGAGTAGGTGTGGAACCTCCTGACGATGCATTACCCTGGCAGGTGCCTTGCGCACCAGTGCCATGTGCGTGCCACCCTTCTTGAAGGCATTCAAACATGCCACCAATTTCGTCTCCTTCGAGCTCGCGGGTTATGAACCGCTAAAGGGGACCCGCCCTCTGAAGGTCCAAGAGCAGATGTTTGAAAAGTTGCCTTGCGAACAAACCTTGGTGCATTCTCCATCTCTACGTGCTTACGTTTACTGGGTGATGGCAAGCTATCAGTTTTAATCATAACCCACAGGCGAAGTACGCGGATTCGCCTTGTGCCTATGGTTCGCAAGCCCTGTCCTCGAAGACGGTCTCTACCTTAATCGAGCTGAATAATCATCGCTCAACAAGCGAGTCCAATTCGCTGCAGCTTGGCAGAGAGCTGCAATATGTTGCATTGCACTTCCCCTTGCCCTGCCACGCCTTCCTCCCGAAGATCTGAATGAAGTCACCCACCTGGTTCAAGACCGGTCTGGAACGAATCGGGCATCAGCAAACTGCAAACACAGCTCTCTGCCTACCTTCATCTCATCTTCAGGATCGGCGAGCATCAAGTCCTGAAGGACAATGCAGAGCTGCTTTACCACCGCTGGCAGCACATTGAGGCATCCTTCGTGTAAAGGAGGCCCCGATACTCATGCTTGTCTCTGCCGTAGATTGGAATTCGACCTTAGAAGTTCGCAGGGATGTGCAGAACACCCTGGAGCTTCCACTCCAATCGCCCGCTCCCCAGAGGGAACTCCTGTCTACGATTGAATGTGGGGCTCATTGAGCTGAGAAGCTAAATCCGGTCTCAAAGATCTCCCGAATGGCGTCGTATCCAAGCTTCGTGTCGCTGTTGAGGAAATAAGCCTCACTTCCGAACTGCCGTATCGGAGCTTTTTCCCTCGCTGCTGTATGAAACCGCGGGACATAAAATCCTCGCATGTTACATGGACACACGAACAGAAAAACCCTCGCATGTTGTATAGCTCCCGGAACACTTTCTGCCCTCATGTCCCTGCCTCTGTTTGACCCCTGAACGATGCCGGCATGCTTCCACACAAGTCATTCGGACTGGTATGTGATTTTGCTTCACTCGAGCTCCGGATGCTCAGAAAGTTTCCCTATCTCCGATTGCATGGTTCAGCTTGTCATCGTAAGCGGGAGAAGTTGCAAGCACTGAGTTGTGGACGTCCTCAAGAGGTGTCATAATGTCGCCAACCTGCCATGGAGGATTAGCTTGAGTCGGATGTCGGCCCCAGTTGGGCAAACTGCATGGCTTTGTACAAGGAGTTTGCGCACAAATCTCGAAGACGGATGCGTAAGTCTGCAAAACGTAGCATACGTACTGCTTTTGTTGTGGCTGGTCTGGCAGTTTGGCCCCGGCTCAAATGTGGGCCTGACAGAGAAGAGATCTTCATGCAGAGATGGATGGTGTCTTCAAGCCTTCTGCCGTCCTCCCTGCAACCCTGCGACATGTTGATTGATTCACACCTAAACCACCGAATAGACCGGTTGAAAGCTCGAAGCACCCCAATTGTGGAAAAAAGAAACCAATGATGGCACGTGATCCCGCCACCTGTTTGTCACGAAAGCTGAGAGCACCTTCAGCGACCTTCCAAGACAACGCAATGGGTCTAGCCCTCGTGAGGCTTATGCCTTGTCTCGAAATGCTTTGAGCTGTATTCACTGTACTCGTGCATGACAAGCCGAGCACTGATTGATCACAAGTTGCGCAACCCTTTCAAGCAGGTGTTTGGCATGCCCGCAGCAAGCCGAACGACGCTGCGACGACAAGGAAGCATTTCCGAAGAACCAGCAGTGACATAGCAGCAAAGGCGATCTGCATGTATCTACAGTCGCTTGAACAGAAAGTTGCTGTCAGGCCTGTTGTGCAATCTTGCCCTCCTCAGCATCCACAGCACCGAGGGAAATCTGCAGCTTCAGCATCTCCATAAGCTCCTCAGGCAAGAGGCCACAACAAAGATCCTCTACAGTGTCAGGACTGCCGTGCCAGTGTCAACGAATATGGCAGAACGTCGGAAGCAAAGCCAGGGTGCTATCAAGTTATTGCAGTGTGCTGGTAGTTGCGCTACTGGCGTCAGGCTTCCCACAACCATCAGGAATATGGACACCCACTATCTTGGAGTTCAGTGAAGAAACAAGCCGCGTGTGGATCACAGCTGGAAGTAAGGGATGCTTGTCGCAAAATGTTTGGCTCTTGAGGAAGATTTGCAGCTTTGCCACCGTCCGGCTGTGGATAGTGCCAACCTGCAAACGTCTTGGTGTGAAGAGTTGTCATCTTCTTGATCTGCTGTCGTGCTAGGCTCTTGCGAGGGATGGCTTGCATTGACACCCATGTGAGCCTCTTGGCCCAGCAGCCAATCTAGGGCTATACTCATCGGCTTGGTGATGACGAAGAAAAGGATCCTGGCGCAGCAACTTGCCACACATGCAGCGTAACTTTGGATGTCTTCAGTTGGCATTGGCCCCAAAGTCGTCCGTGCCACTGGGCTCGGGAACTGCAAGCGATCAAGCGGCAGTTTTTCTGGCATTGCACCCATGCACGGCCTGCTGCAACCCAATGACAGGCTGGGGTGGCATCAGAAACCGTACAATGGGAACTGTCCTTGCTCCGACCTGGCGTTGTAGCATGAAGCAGCATATCTGCACACACAGCAAAGCTGGGCATATGGTGCGACTGAACCCTTTACGGTCAAATTAATTGACGGAAAAGCTGTCCCACTTCCTCGAGCGCTGCCGTGTCACTGCTCTCTAGGATCCTGGGCCCAAGAAACGCTCGAGCCTGGAGCGCGTACCTGGAGCAAGCCGCCTGGAGCTCAAGCCGATCTTGAAAGGAGCTCTGAAACCGGAAGCTGTCTGCCAAGAACGAGACAACAGCGCCATGTGTTGGACCTTGCTCCCTTTGTCATGTTGTGTATCAGCACTGAGACTTTCAGGATTTACGATCATGGATGCGCTGGGCTTGAAGGCCTGGGGCATCCCGTCATGCCAATGCTCAGAAGTAGCGGGATCAGGACTCAGGCCGACTTCCCTAGGGCCTGGGGCAGAATCTCGCCGAACGTGACGATCAAAGCAGTGGAGACCTTTTCTCTTGTTGCTTTCAGAGGATTTTTTTGGCCAGAGGGCTGCTGCCGCCCAAAGCTTTAACCTGGAAGCCCAGAATCCACAGCTCGTATGGTAACTTGCCAGTTGAAGTCGGTGCCAAGCTGCAAAAAAACCAACGAGGCCACTGGCAATGTCTGCTGTCAAGATGGACAAAGCCTGCCAAGCTGTCAAGGTGCTCGAGCTGCTACCGCGTCCTAGCCCATGCAGCCATTTCCCGTCAATGGTTGCATCTCAAACTTTTCTCAGCTGAACATGATATGATGCTGTGACCCATAACCATGCCAAAGCGCTGAATTGACAGCCACATTGCCCAAGAGGAGCGTGCACCTGCGACATCTGAATCATTCAGTGTTCCAGTTCTATTCTTCTCTCGTGCTTGGTTCTGCGGGTATAGTGGGTCGAGCTTCATTCCTGTTCACGGAGCTGAGGGCGTGGAGAGTGGAACAACAGTTGACGCAAAAGCGACAACTCCTCGTCACATGGAACAGTCACAATCAAGACCTTAAGTTGCAGCAGTCTGTTTCCGAAGGCATAAAGGGACAGTGCCAAGCTCCACTCCCCCGGCCCTTTCGGGTCAAGTCCTCCTGCATGATGCAGCAGACTCGATCTCTAGCCCGTTCTGTTCTTCTTCTTCCCCTATTGGCCCCCATATGTTATGGGGCTTTCGGGGGTGTGAGAAAGTTGTTCGAGTGTCGGGTGTTTCGATAACCAGTTCTCTCCCTCTCTCTCTTTCTGGCCGTTCTCCTCGGGCATGAGCACAAGCAGCTCCCCGTTCCCCACACCAACAAATGCTTCCAAAGTCCTTCTCTCCCTCTTCTTCTCCATAGCTGGGCAGATGGAGGAACATCCCACCTTCGTTTCACCGGGTCAGAGCCCCGAACAAGCAACCCTCCCGCCTGCGACTTTGGCCCCACTACGGTCCCTGCTAAGCGCTAGCTGCCAGCAAAAAATACATTGCAACTGCTGGCGACATTCCACTTCGTTCTTTCATCTGCAAGTCTCGCTCTCTCTCGCTCTCTCTCGCTCTCTTTCTCTCCTCGTTCTTCTCGTTTGGAGAACCCATGTGCGCGAGGCAAGTTTTCAAGCACACCAGGCCCTGCTGAAGCTGTCGCTATCTCTGGTCACTTGCTCAGTGCAAACAAGAACCGGCGGCCCTGAACTTGCCAAGTGGCAGAAGTTGGTTTCCAGACTCTCGAATTGGCGCGATTTTCGCCGCGCACCTTCACTCGAGCTTCTTGACTGGCCGGGCACATCACATGCTGTTCTTAAGAGATGGGAGGCATTGCAACACCCACAGGCACATGATGTCCTCTTGTTAAACCAGGTGCTACTTCCCAGTTCAACCCAGGCCTGGCCATCTCCTTGTTCTCACCTTTCTGAACGATTTGAAGGCCGATCACCTCGCTAGGCCCAGCACTTTCGAGGATGCGGCGCTTCTGAAGAGACGCTACGCAGAAGACAAGGGACACCAGCTACCTCCAATTTGAAGCTGAATTGCGTCCAGTCCCATAAGACCCAAGGTGAGGCCGGAGAAGAGGCCGGACAAAGCGACCAGTACCCTGCAAAGGCTGGGAAAATGCGACGAACCGAGGCAATGCACATCTAGATGCAACGTTAGCTTGAATTCTGGATAGCAGGCTTCCCGACTGAGCATCATTCCGAGTTCAACTGCAAGAACAATCAAGCGATGAGCTCCCAAGCATGACGGGTGCACGCTATCATCGGCAGTGTCGCATACAGCGGAAGGATAGGTTCGACGGGCTCAGCCTTGTTCAACAGAAGCAGGCCGAGGATATGGCTATGTGCTTTCCTCTTATCTTGCCATGCTTCAGCTCTGCCGGCACTCACTGAACTCGGACATGCTCAGCAGTTGTGCATCCTGTGTAAGATGTCCTATGTCTTCCTGCTTGGAGATGGCCTCTCCACATTGACAATCAGTGGTGTTTCCAGCTGCCCCAACCTGGGCAAGCATTCATGTTGCTCAGCAGAATCAGAAGTAGCGGCTTCACATGTGCAGTGTCTGCAGCTGTAGCTGCAGCTTGCTAGACTTGCATGTCGGCTGACCCCGGCAAGACTTCGCCGCAAGTGCCTCAAAGGAGTTTTTGCATGGCTGTGGGGCGCCTGTGAGACAAGCGCGAAGAGCGTCAAAGTCGCCACAAAGTAGCCATTTACCTTCACCTGCCGTGTCAATACTGGTGGTGGCGTTTGGTTTGTAGCAACACTTACATCTGTCTGGCCCTGGTTACAGTTTGGGGCAAACCCTCGCGAGCCACCCAAGGTATCGAAACAAACTGAGTCGAATGCTGGCATTCCATTTTCCTGTAGCATCCGCTGGATGCAAGTCTGCTATGGCTGTGGGCAGAAACAGGGTTTACTGTTTATGGTCAACAGTTTCTCACATAATTGGACATTGCCTGCTGCTCCTGCTCACAAGCTTTCGACTGGGAATAGAAATATCCCCATGCACACGACCTGGTAATTCAACCAGGTGTGTGCACAGGACGCTGCTCTTCCTGGCAGATCGTTTGCCTGCGCAGGTGCTCTATGGTGCCCCCTGCATCTTCAAACGAATGCCTGTTGGCTGAGGATTTGTTCAAGCGGCTTTATCGCAAGGAGGCTGGAAGCACGGTAGAGGAACTACGAAGCCTGTACAGTAAAGCTTCGATGCCCTCAGGCTTGCATGGTCGTTGTCATTGAGTCTAATCTACCGAATCTACGGTCTGGAACCGGCCACAACCCGACAAACTGTATCCCTTACTTTTCATGGGGTGAAGACTCGGCTCGATTTTCGGATGCAGCAACTGACTTTGGTTGCTCACGCGCATTTCCGAAGTAGGTGTAGCCCAAGAAGCCGACCTCGCACGTCCACTGGAGGGTTTCAAACAACCGCTCCCGAGGTAGTACGGGACCCGTTTGACTGCTCTGTTCAATGCACAGCCCCTCTCCTAGCTGGTATAAACCGTGCTGTGCAGGGTGACTTCTCTGCTTCGGGCCAGTCCCGAAGAGCAAAGCACAAGCATCGAGTTATTGAGGGCGCCGCAAGTGCCAAAGCATATCCTGTCCAGTGAAACGACATGTCCATCCATCTTGGAGGCTCGCTTCAGAGAAAAGTGCGGGCACTATCGATGTGCAAGTGAGCTGCCCGTCACATGCTTCGGTTTGATGGGCTCTCCAAGCATCATAGCACCATACCTAATCACCATCAGCCACACCCAACACATGTAATGACGCTTCGATTTGCGGCTTTGTGGCGCAACCAGCGAAACATTGCGAAATGTTGTCCTCAGCACAAATGTTACTGTCAAGCATAGCAATTACTCGATTTAACGCAGTTTTTATCACTGTTTCACTATTTTCTCACCTTTTGTTTTGATTATATCGTCGGTATAGATAATGAAAGGAATGGAATCTAATCAGTGCAAAGCAATGACAAGATTATGATAAACACAAACAATATGAATGAACCTAGTGAAAATGAATGCCGTCACCGGTTTCCGTCTCCGCGCAACTTTTCACCACTTTCTACATGTCTGATCACTAGTTTCCCACTAGTTCACTAATTTTTCATTCTATAATATGTGACAAATCGCTGCTCGAGCACAAACAAGATCTGGTCCACTAACTCTCTCGCAAGCGCAATTTCGAAACACACTGACTTATTAAAATAGTTCTTGAACACCACCACAACGGTTGCCCGACCTCCCAACCCCAAGGCTACTATTCCGTGAGAAAAACTTGGATTAAGTTGTTTGATTTCAAGATTTCATTTCAGCCAAGGCTCACAATCTTGAGACTGAGCGCGCCACATGATTTGATGACCATATAGCCTCAGACCGAAGGAACTAAGGGGTGGCTGTTTTGCTTCAGTGACTTCAGTGATCAGAACTGACCTTGGCACAACCAGTTTCAGTTACGTTGCGGGGGGATCAGTTTTTGCTCTTGCAAAAAACCTTACACCTCACCGCGCACGATCCAAGTGCAATCGCGAGCAGCACCGAGACGCCCGCCTTGCAAAGCTGCAGACTCGACCGGGCACACCAACTTCTTTTCTGGAGCTTGGAATCCTAAGGCCTTCGATCGGAATCATCGGCGTCGTTATCAGGCACAATTTCGACCTGATTTGCATTTACTCGCCTGAGGAACAAATCAACACTGGTGCCATATCCGGGCAGGGAAACCAGGTTCAGTGAACCACCCAGATATCGGGCATAGAGACGAGAGAGTGGAAGACCTATGCCATATCCTGCTAGCGATGTCGCACCCTCACCATAGCTGGGACCTTTGCCAGCAGTTGTGTAAAGGTAGGACCAGACCTTTTGTCCCACACCAAAAGGAATTCCTCGTGCACGGTCACTAACTCGAATTGCAACTTCATGGTCGTCTGCACAAACGATCACATTAATCGGCCGCTTCTGCACATCACGATCGGACTTGGCAACTTCGGCCGTTGCACGGCAACTGTTTTTCAGTACCTCCGTCATGATGAAGCGCAGGAAGCCGGGGATGTATGAAAACCTCGTGCGAGTCTCGGGGTCGAGTTGCTGACACTGCTTGTGAAAAATGTCACATGTTCGATGTCCGCTCGCTGCCAACCAATGAGCGCATGCTGGCACGATTTGCGGCCAAAAAACCTAGGAATAGCACGCTCCTGGAACACTTCTACCTGGATGAGGGGACAACGACCAGTGTTGTCCTCCAAGTCTGGCAGGGCATCTTATTGAAACGGATCGAGCAACACTTTCCAGTTGCAGCAACAAGACACAACAGTCCTCAGTGATCTGCTGTACCCTCATAGCAGTGTCTCGACAGATCTGTGCCACGTCACAATCCGGGTCAATGATTCCAGCCATGGCATGCCCCCTCTGGAGCACTCCAGAATCTTCCATGGTCACGCAAGCCAAGTACCTCGAGCGTACAGGACATGTCTCAGCATGCAGGCAACGTGATGGAGGCCAAATTTCCTGGAAATTCAGAAAAGGCGCTGTGACATGAGCATCTCGGTGCCAATACAGTTCAAAAGAAAATCGTCCGCCCAAGGATCGGTAAAGCCACTGCCGAACTCTTCCCCACGCTCTGTATGCAAGCGATGCATGGCAATGGCTACCTGCACATGGCTTTGCTGGACACTGCAGTGGGCAGAAACAGCACGCACCTTGTGTCGAATAGGCTGCTGTGCATGTAGCGCATGCTGAACCACTGCTGTGAAAGCATCCAGTGTCGGCCGGCGCTGCACCAAGCGGAGGTCCCTGAACACCTGCGAACACCACAAAGCTGCGACCACCTTTCCGCGCATGCATCACACAGAAGGCCTAGGCCTTCATGTGTGAAGTGTGGATCTCTCTAAGCTCCTTGATGTCCTGCATTCGACACATGGCTCTAGAAGCACAGCCTTGCCCACAACACTTCACAAGCGAATATCGCCCATTGACTGGCTGTGACACTGAAGGAGCACAGGGATGCTGTTGATTTCCTCCCAATTCGGTATGTCTTGAATCCACCTGATTCGCTCCGCAATCCTCGGCACAACGTTTGCTAAGAGCTGGTCCAAAACAAACCGGCTATCCGCCAATGAAGACCGTTGCTGCTATGACCCATCTCTCCGATGGTTCACGCACAAAGACATGTACATCAAATTTATCGAGATCCGGTCTGTGTCAATGGGCAAGCAGTAACAGTTCCATAGGACTTGAAGCGCAACCCAGGCCTTGCTGATGCTTCGATTTCCCTCGCAACTTGTCTGGTCCTACTCTTCCTGAATGCAACCTTGCTTCCTACAAGTACCACTATGTTCTGCTCGGGCACTAGCGGCGCGGTCTAGCCCGTTCCGAACCATGCCGAGTTTGCAGGGAATTGTGCAACTTCAAAAGTCAGCTGGATCGGACCTAAGACTGCTGCATCGCTTAGACCTTTGTACTCTTAGTCGATTGCTGATTTCCGTAAGGAAGCATCCCATCTGCTGTAGTGATGGCTGCAGATCTGCAGCCGAGTCTTCCTGTTTTGATCGGAATACTCTTTCACACCGAACTCTGCTTGTCCGTTTTCGTGGATGTCGGGGTGAAAAATGAGCACAACCCAATGGACACATAGAGTCTGACTATATGACGTGATGTGGCATTGTGGACAGGGAATTTTTGGAAACGCACGCATGATGGCGTAGCATGTTGTAGTTAATGCAGGAATGCAAATGCCACGTCTCGGGCTGGATGGACAGCTTCCGAAACGGTAGCCTTGTCGTGAGAATTTATGGAACTCAATCGAAAGGGGTCAAGAAAACACAACTCAAGATTTGGGTACACTTCAACGGTTAACATCGCATAGAATGGTCACATCTGAGGACCGCTCGGCTTCATCGGAGTTGCCGTCAACAACTTTCGAAGAATGACTCTGCAACACGACGGCAAGCCCACCGGCGGACGTTTGCTGGGTCAGTGCATGTTAGGGACGTTTGGTATGGCTGCAGCTCCATGGTGGCAGTGAGAAAGCCACACAGCACCAAGGCGAGCACGGCTGAAGCAACCAGTTCGCAAATCGGCTGTATTCAAGTTGGCCTGTGACTTCTCTAGCCCCGGTTTGGAAACGACGTGGTTGCTGCTTTCGACACTGTTCCCCAAAAACACACCTCGTGAATGACAGCTCAATGGGACCGAGACTCCGAATAGGCACCTCCACGTGCAAAAACTTGGCGATGCGCTGCGGTTCCAGCATCTCCAGCACCTCCTCAAGGAAGAACCGGCCAGTCAAAATGAAAGATCGTCGGGTCATCACGTTTCCGCATTCTAGGCACCAGAAACAAAAGGCATATACATAGGTGTGTGTGTATATATATATATAGGTTATATATATATATACATATGTACACGTATATGTATAATAAACTTGCATGTATCCAGCAGATATTGAGCTTGCGAAACCTTAGCCTTAGCATTACATCATCCAGCTGACGCTTGACCTTGCTTGTGGAAAGGCTGAGCTTTGATCAAGCCACAAGTCCTGCATGCTCACAGGGCGTGGCTGCATTGGCACAAAGTGGTCGAGTTCTCCTCCAGCAAATCTGGCAGCAGGTTTTAGAGAGCGGTGCTATTTATGATGGGTTGTTCTCTCGGCACTTTCTAAGGCTGCAGATCGCGATCGTAGCAATTTAGGCATGAATCCCGAGCTGGCAGTGCAAGGAGCCTTTGATGAACGCTTCAACATCATCATCTCCGAGCACTTCCGGGACGATCCTTTGTGCACAATGGAATGCTAAGCTGCGAGCCTTTATGAACAGCAGTTCGCTACAACCCAAACGACATGCTCTAGGATACGGCCCCGCGCTGCTCATCGCACACGTTGCATCTACAGCTAGAGGAGCGGGAACAGCTCGTTGCTTGTTGAATATCAAGATCTCTTCACTACAATCAGTCTGGTGTGCTTCAATTCAAGGTTGGCTGATGCAGGTCGGTCAGCCTGCCACCTCTGCTATTCCATTGCATGCCGTGGCCACAAAACATCTAATTTCAACCGGGCTTTGTAAGTTATCTTGTCATCAAACATTTGCCTTTCCTAATCAGGCTTTCTACCCCTCTGCTCGCATCCAGAATATCTTCGCATACTCATCAGGTCATATTGCTGCTTAGAGCTCCGCGTTTTTGTAAATTTGCGGCTCGGCATGCTACAGTCGTCATCCACCTGTCACTACAGCAACAAAGCTGGTATTCAAACCACGACGTCACCCTCGAGGAGGGTGCTTTGGGCAGAGCGTACGCCGGCTAACCCCTATCTCCCCGGGGCGGGTACCTGACGGGCGGACACGTCTTATATAGGTTATAGTTATAGAGTGACAAATATAAGATAGATGGGTCGATGGATGGTGAAATAGACAGGGGACCTGACGGGGAGGTTGCTGACGGGTGCAGGGGCGGACCCGAGCGGTAGACAGCATCTCTAACCTCTAAACAGTCTGGATGTGTAATAGCTCACGGTTCGTACCTGGCGGGTGGAGGTTGCTGAAGGGTGGGGGGGTTTGACAAACGGAGGAAGGAGACGCATAGCGGAGGGCAAGTACCTCATGGGCGGAGGTGCAGACGGGCGGAGGGTAGCTGACGGGGGAGGTTGCTGGCAACGGAGGGGGGATGAGCATAGCTCACAGTGGAGGGCGAGTACCTGATGGGTGGCGGGTACCTAGAGGTGGCTAACGCGCGGACGGCGCGTAGCTGACGGGAGCAAACCTCTGACCTCTAACCAGTAGGTACCTGACGGGGATAGATAGTATCTGACGGGCGGAAACTTCCAACCTCTAACCAGTAGGTATCCGAACGGGGTTAGGGTAAAAGGGCGGGAACCTCTGACCTCTAACCAGTATGTGCTTGACGGGGATAGATAGTATCTGACGGGTTGAAACCTCTAACCTCTACCAGTAGGTATCCGAAGGGGGTTGGAGTAAGAGGTTATGTGAGGTACAATATCGCTTTGGGATGTTCTGGGCTAGATTCATAGGTTTCTGGTCCGAGATGCATCGAACCTCGTTCCCAAGGAACCTGTGAAATGCACTCACATGACGACGAATCATTGGCGCAGCGAGGCGAATGCATGTATAAACAACGTGCTGCCTATGAAAACTGCTGCACATCCGCAGCCTCAAGAGTCTCGGCTGCACGTGGTCATTAACGTGCCTGCCCGTCCCAGCTCGAGGGTCCGTATCTACGCCGGCGAAGAGCCTGCATACCAGCAGGGTGCGGTGCGGCTAGCAGGTGTTCCCGTCAAAGGGAGTTGTTCGGCCAACACCGTCCCGTGCAGCCATGGACGTATTTGTAGCAAAACATGGAAGCGAATGGATACACTCAGGGCATGAATGTGATCGTCCTGAACCCACGCCACAAATCGCCGACACGCTGTTTTTGACCAGCTGCATGTCGGAAGCATGTATGCCAGTGAGTCTTCCGGAAGTCAGCATTCAACACCCATGGAACTTCGTAAGCTTTGTGAATACGGTGCAATGCTTGTTGAAGGTACAACTACCGAGCTCCAGCTTGCAGGACCCAGCCTCGGCCGAGGACACTGGATCCACGCGCTCCACCTTGCCATGATGCTGATGCTGGCATGATTGGTCTGCTTCAATATTTCCACAACATCGCCCGTCCCGCCTGGATGCGTGGGCCTTCCCAGGAGTTGAACCTCCTGCCCCCGATGCACGCGGTGGACGGCCCTACAGGGCACCGCATGGAGCCCAAAGGATCAACCCGTTGCGACAGACCTCTCGCCTGGTCTTGGCAGCCTGAAGCGTATCCTTCTCGAAACAGCTGCCATGGCTATGCACAAGAGGACGTTGAAGTATCGAACTTTATCTGCAAGCTCGTAACCAAAGGCTGTTCCTATGTCTAAACATGCAGCTGCATACTTTGAACTGCGGGGTGTTGCCCGTGTGTTGCCCTTTGGGTTCTGTTGCAGCGCATTATCCGACACGGAGATCAGCATCTGCATGTGCAGACAGCTCGTGCTTGAGAGGGACGAACAACCGCAATCGAAGCATTCTCAATATAAAGGGCCGTGGTGCCAGTCAGAATTGAAGTGGACACGGGTTTGCAATTTTTTGTTGCTACGGGTTTGCCATTTCGCACAGGAATGCCGTCATCCAAGTGGCTCGAGTAGTTCACCACGGTGCCAAGTCCAGCCTTTGAGGCCAAGCAGAATCTCACAAGGAACACGTTTTGGGCGCGGTTGCGGAATTTCCTCGACATGCCTCACGTATAAGCATGCATAAGCATGGCATCGTTGCAAGCACGTGTGCTGCAGCCAAGTGGCAGCGAACAAAAACAGGTGCAGATACCTCGGCCAACCGGGCAAACGGTCGTAGTAGGTGATGTCTCTGATGTGAAGGTTGACAACATCAAAGCGTCCAAAGCTGATATCACAGCATCCGAGGTGCTTGAAGAGTTTGTCCAAGACCTTGTTTGGCATCAGCATTGCCCACGCGAAGTGAATTGCTTGCCCTACTGAAGGCCGTCATATGTAAAGGCACCAGGAACTGCTTGCAAGCAAGATACGTCCACCTCCAGAAGCTTCTGCCTAGGTCGAGCTCTTCTTGAGGCTGCACATCCATATATGAAACGGCCGCTGGTGAATCAACTTCTAGTGTCGCACACAGCCGTTGAGAACTGCCCGAGCACTTCTTTGCCGGTGCATCAAAACTGCAACGAAAGCTTGCAGCAACGGTTTTTTCCGAAAACATTCACGTCAAGTTGCGACTCCATCGCGAGGGATGCTGAGAGAAGGGCTGCTGAAACGGTGGGTGCCAACACGTATTGTCCTGCTTTCTGGTCCGAAAAGTTGGTCGCAGCATCAGTTGTGCCGCCACTGCAGAACTGTGCTCTGCTGTATCCAAGTGCTCACTCCGAGTGAACTACACATCGTGGTCACAGCACCGATGTCCTTCAGTGACGCTGAATTTGCCTCAGCGAGGTGCGGACACTGGTGAGATCGCTGCCCGCTGCTCCATCGGCATGGTGTATCTGTAGAGTAGTCACACTCGACAATTTTCAATCCAGTGTCGCCAGGTACGCTGTCAGGCCAAGCTGCAAACTAAGCGGACAAGCTGCAAGCCCGTAGAAGGAATTGCGTCAGCCCAATTCGCAAAGCTTCCGTGATCATGGCAGCCACTGAACAGCTGAGTCCTGCCAGGTCGCCGAGCTGGTTTAAACACCTCTTTCGGCAGGGATTTCTCACAAGCCGAACAGTCGCACCGGCGATGTTGGAAAGCAGTAGGGCATGGCTGGGAAACTGTATGTTTCGGGAACCTAGGCGACCGCGTTAGACTCTAGAAACATTCTGACGGATCGCACAAGGCGTAATTATAAGAGCGCTTGCAAAAGCTAGGTTTCCTGAGAGGGTAATGGGGCCGGACAGAGCATTGCTATTCAAGCCGGTGCAGGCCAACCCTGCTGATGCATCGCACGGCTATGGTAGCCGGGCATGAGTTGAAGGTCGAGCCTGGGTTTGTCAAATGTCTGGCTGCTGAAGCAAAGACCTAGGAATGTCCGCTTGCAGCATGCAGGGCACTCCTCCAACATTCCACTCGGGCGATATTGCTGCGGTAATGAAGGTCCCGACCTCACAGCAAGGCCATCGAGAAAGGGACAATGGGGTAGCCAAGCGATTAGTGTTTAACTCTCCAGGATTTGCTTTCGACTCCGCGGTCACGCGCATTTACTGCGGACAAGCTTCGGTGATGAGGCAAACCTCAGCTTTCTACGTCCCATGCACTCTCGTTATTGTTGTGACCTCTTTCCTTCAGCTATCCACGTCCGGAATTCCAAGGAGGAGGTGTGGGCCGGGCAGCAGGACTCAGGCACAACCATACAACATTTTCGGGACTCGAGGTGTTCAAAAAGCAGTGGAGCGCTAGCATCTCGTGTCGGATTGGGCCAACGGGTGTCACACATATGGGTGAATCTGGTGGCCAGGAAAAGAGGCAAGAGGCGCAAAAGCAGGAGCCCAGTGACGGGCTTTCCAACCTGCCAAGCGTCAGCCGAAGTCTCGTCTCACAGATGACCGCTCAGTGCTAGCACATCTTTCTGCCCTGGTGCTGCTGCTGCTGCCCACAACTTCTGATCTTGGTGACGTGGAAAGCTGGATGGGCTCTGCATGGAAAAGTGAAAACCAAGGTCTTCCCTGGATTGAAGCATCATCACAGATGTCATGGATTGCAACGGAGTGCGTGCCTCAGCGCCACTAGAACCAGCAAAATACAAATCGGAGTGCCTGGCCAGGCTCTGATGGATGTCAGTTGAATCTGGCAAACTAGCAGGGAAAGGATCTAGCACCTGCCTGCTTTCAGCATCTGCGTGGAGCCGATGCCTAGAAAAAGATAAGTCGCATTGCCTGAGGATGGCGAGGTCAATGAGATGTCATCAGGCTGTTGATCTTTGACACACTGGAGAAATCCCCAACAACTCGGCGGCAACATCTCTGCATGTGCAAGCAGTAAATCATGTGTCAATGACCGAGGGCACGGCCAAAGGCCAACGTGGAGGCCTGACAGTTGGACATTGGCCGAATGCACTTCGAAAGCAGCTGCATGCGCTTTATTTATGTGGCATGAAGGCTTCAGCGTGCTTTGGGAAGCGGAGATGGGCTTGTGCGGCCAATGGGCATAGCCAGCATATGACCTATCAGTAGATTGGCTATGACACAGAAAGACTCGAATCTTTACAATGCCGAAGGTAAAACAGCCGGCAAAATCCGTGCAAGGCCTGACAAAGCGCCACTGGCACCTTGGCACATGTATAAAATTAATTTGGGGGTTTCTCTCGTCTTGCCTGCATCCTTTTAGCATGAGGGTGTTTCCACGCCCGTGTGTGTTTGTGCTTGCGCGGGTGTGCCTGCCCGTGTGCGAGTCTGTGCCGGCATGAGTGAGTTTGCGTTGCCCGTGTGTGTGTGGTGTCTCTGGATCCGAGAATGAAGGAGTGCAACATCCATACATGAGCGTGGAAACTAGCTTGCCGGTATGAGATGTGAACACACAAACCCTACCTACCCACCTACCTACCTACCTACCTACCTACCTATCTACCTACCTACCCACGTACAGTACCTACCTACCGTACCTACCTACCCTACGTACCTACCCTACCCTACAGCAAAGCAGCAAACAAACACAGAAGCGAATAGCACACCCAACGAAAAGACACCTTCACAAATCAACAAACATCCGACCCCTCCCTTTTTCTTTGTGTGTGTGTGTGCGTGAAACACCTGTTTGCCAAGGTCTGAATCGCTTTTAACATTGCAGGGGACCACCAGGGCCCCGGGGGGCGGTGGTCAACGAAGACCCCCCCTATAAGTCCGTGCAAGCGTACCTGCCCTTTTTTCAGTCTTTTTTCCATTGCATGGCCAG